GACGGTGACCACGGACCTCTTGGACGATCTCTTGGCTTCCGATTTGCCGGCGCCATTGACACCCTTAGAGCTGGTTGCCGGCAGCGAGGTCACCTTCGGCGACTTTTTCATATTTTTCTGGTCGCTGGAGGCCTCCGTCATCTTGTCCAGTTCCGCCATCGCCTCTTGTATCGCGTTTTCCAATTGCATATTCAATTTACGACTTCTAGAAAAATAGGGGAGGAACGAGAAAATCGTACAGTTAGTACAGATGATTACCAGCGACCGGTGCGTGCGAGCCGACCAATCAGACAACAGTGAAATCGTGGTCTAGAAGCTAAACACAATCGCGACTAAAATAAGGTTCTGTCAAGCATCAGTAAATGGCGATACGGCTAGACTAAAATTAACACAGAATATAACATATTCTCGCCGAGAAGCAACTTACAGCGAGTCGTGAAAATTTAGATTTTCTTTGAGAGAAAACCGAAAAACGTACGAATTGTTAATACTGACGATATCTTTTTTTCGATATCTTATTTTTTTTCTACGTGGTCGCGTGTTACAGCATAATTACGGTTAAATATTTAACGATACAGAATGGAAAAACAGGGGAATAAAAAGAAAGATGGTTGAGATCGGAGTAGAACCACTTAACATATTAATATCCAGCATATAATAAGAGTATCGATATTCTTTGGCGAGTTAATAAAAAGAATATCGAACCGCAGATACGCAGTAAGCTGTGCGAGATAGATTTAATTGGCTGTTGGCTTGCTAATAAATGCTATAAGAGATTACAATCATCGACGGTGTGTAAGAGCTCTTCCGAAGGAGGAAATTTAAATTAATTATTACCGCGTGCCACACAGAATGAATTCATCACTGTGATAGTGCGTCCGTGCACTTGTATACATACAGAATTTTTTACTTTTACCGCGTTAAATTTGAATGACTGATTTTCGAATAAATGGCCAAGGAATTTATCATTAAGATATGCAACATAAAGGAAAAGCATTCCGCGCAAACGCATACTTTACGGATATGTATACTGCTCGTAGCACTTGTCGATCTTCTTGTCTTTTCTCCTAAACTAAAGAAAATCGTGCAACTGTAACTAATGTAAATACCATGAAATTAACATAGCGTGCGTTCTACTAAAGAGCATTTCTGCTAAAGAGATAACGCGGTCCAATGAACTTCATTGGAGTTTAACAATGCGAGAAATGAAAACGCGGATTAAAACGCGAAAAAATTGACATCGTTGTTCCAAGACCAAATATATGCCGAATATACAAAAGAAAAGGAAATTTAACAACCAACATTCAAGCATCTCCCGTTCTATTTCCCTCTTCATTTCCACCTTCGCAGAGTGTTGTCATGTGTGAAACAACTAGATATTTTTAAGGAGGCTTTCATAATAGTTCATCCCTGTCGGGGTGGGTGACTCACTTCCTAAACTTTTTACGGGCGCGATGGTGCGCTTCGAGGCCTTCGGAGAGGGACTTGAGGGTCTTGACATTGACCTGGGTGCGACTGCCCCCGCCCCCGTACCATCGGACCCAAACCGTCATTGTACCCGGAGGGCCCAAAGACTCGACTTTCCCCGGCCAGGCCGGACTTCCTCTTGCTGCGCCCCACACTAGTTCACCGACCATCAGTTTCCATTGGTTCTCGTCGTCTATGTCCTTTGTCTCGGCTACTGGGGGTACCAAACAAGGCACGATATCTTTCAGAGACTTGTAATCTCGGCTATCTGCAGCTGATTTCGCGTGATTCAAAAATAAAATTAACATAAAGAAAGCCCATCTCCAAAAAAAGTAAAAAAAATATAAAAACGCTTCTCGTACAGACACATTAGATAGAAAGCTGTCGCAGTGTCGTGGCTAACGACATAATTTTGAGAAACGTCAGAATTACAAAACGAGATTAAAGAGAACCGCGTGTTTGCTTCGACTAACAGATATCTGCAATTTATTAAAAGAACTTACGGTGATGCTTTTTTCGGTTGGATCAATTTTGTTCGCAAAATATAATATAAATAATAAAATATATTTCGATAGATTTTACACGCGCTTTATTGTTAAAAATCGGTTATTTTTAGCTCAAAATATTTTGTACTAAATGCTTTCTCGATACGATCGTCTGTAATTCTATAATTATATTTGAACGCGCGCGCGCGGTACAAATTACTTAAATTAAAATTTAATTTCGTCTTTTAATTGAACTTATCATACATGTATACGTAATTGCGTTTTGCACGGCATGTCGTGACACGAGACCGCGCAGTTTCTACCTGATACATCTGTATAAGTCTCGATTAAGATGTGCAACGCATAACAGCAAAACGTTCCGATATGCTTATGGTGCGTGTCGTAGAGGAATGTTCGAAACTGATGGTTGAACTACTCGTTCGGTAGTACTGCAATAATGTGCTTCTTGCTCGTATGTGTGCTCGTTAAAAATGATTAGTAGCTTCATTCAATGGTGGTAGGCGAGATCAGAGGCGGTATGAAATATCAGATGGTACGAGCACATGCAATGATTTTGTCGACATGAGTATTATTCGTTTTCTTTTTTTTTTTTTTTGAGAAAAAATCTTCCCTTGCGTAATCAATGTATGTACAATATCAAGTATATATAAGCACGATTAAAAAATGTACAATTCCAAAGCTTAAAATTTTGAGCAATTACTTAAGATACCAATGCATACATTGATGTATTTTAATATAGAAAAAAAGTACGTTTCATAAAGGCATACATTCAATGTTTGAGATAATCACTGCATCTGTTAAATTAAAATCTAAATTGAACGATTTCATTTACTGTCTTAGGTATATAATCCTAGGTATATGATCGACTTTATTATCAAAACCTGATTTCGTCGTTGATACCTGTATCCTTATGTTAATTCCTCAACTCTACTGCAAACATTTCTCGATCGTTTGATCGTAGACAGTGTGCAGTATACGGCGATAATTCGAGAGAGAAAAAAACAAACCGCCCTATTTTCGGGAATATGTGCATGCCGTACGTGTAACATGAGGATGTTTATGTACAAGGTACGTCGAGATAACACACGATAGTGAGCCACACCCCTTCCGAAATGAACGTATGATTCAAGCCCCTTGGCCACTCGAATGAGAATGTAATTGCGAGGGTAATGGTATTAACAAACCTGACAGCCAATTAGTAAACGCAAAAAATACCTTCCAGGACATTATTTACAAATGTCACTATGGTTATTTCTTCACTCCCGCAAGCGACGTCGGGGACTCTCGTACACATGATGAACGAAAGAGTTTTTTCGTTTTTAGCACTGGCGCCACTTACCTGCTTCTCTCGACATCTCGTTAACGTGATTGATAACGCGATGAATAGCTCGCTATCGGAGAGCATAGACCACCTCGGAATGCTCCGAGTACTCGGTTCGCATGATACAACGGATATAAAGTCCATCTGGCGTGTAAAGTCTCGAGACATGGAGTGACAAAAGAGTCGTCGCTCTCGCAATCCAACATCCGCTTTTTTAACGATAAAATCTTAAGCGTTCGCGAGAAAGAAAAAGAAAGAGGAGAGAGAGAGAGAGAGAGAGAGAGAGAGAGAGAGAGAGAGAGAGAGAAGAGAGAGAGAAGGAGAGAAAGCTGCTCTATGAGAAAAGCGATTGCGAGAAGCCACGAGAAAAGCAACGCGACGTGCATACACCTCGCCATGCAACGACATTACCAAACATGCACGAGCGAAAGAAATGAACTAATGATGAGGCAAAGTGATGACGTACCGAATTAGATCACGACGATGATTAGACAATTTACCGAGCATGCACTTCTCTAAGTCACAGACGATTTAAGGAACCAAAGCGTAATCGTACTGAGGAAAGCACTCTTAATAATAACATTCGTCCGATAATCTTAGCGACGAGGAGCAACGGGAAACATCGTCTTCTTCCTGTGAAAGCTTTGGCGTGCATATATTTGACGGTATAATAATCGGTGCTTCACGTTGCTCACTGTCACGGAGAACAAATTGCAAAAAACATTCTGACAAAGAAACTTTCCGTACAACATATTCCGTAGAAATTAGACGTTACCTTATTCAACCAATGTTTACGAAAATATAACTTGATTTACAAGTGAATAACTGAAATGAAAATACGGAAATATCACTCTCTCCCCCTCCCTCGTGCTATTTGTATATATTACATAACACTGCGTGGCAAGCTCAAATATCGATCTATACTATTTATTTAAATATTCGATTTCTCCTTTTTGTTTAGATCATCGTGAAAAGTTTCTTTGTAGAATATTTTTGCTACTAAGCAGAAATACTTTCAACTACTCGTATATACGATTAACATCTAAGAGTACCATACAATACTGACCATCTTGGTCTTCATGCAGAGTAGAATGCATGGAATGGATGGAGTCCAGCTTTCGCTTGATTCCGCGGCCGAGGGCATGTTCCCTGCCCTCGCACCTCACCGTGCTCACCACACCTTCGGCTTGCTTCAACGTCTCTGACGTATAGATCTGTCAAATACAACTCGATCAACTCAGGCACAAGCCTACCAATTGCATGCTAATATCATTTCAATGTATCAGTGCCGATATATTGTCTTTCTTTCTTTTTATCTTAAACCCCGGTCCACACGTGGTCCACAAGGATCTCACGGTGTCTCTCGAGCGAGCATAGGAGACAAAAGTGCTCTCGCGAAATCCTAACTTGTACGTGTGATACGCTGGAATACGATAGTTACACGAACGTAATGTGAAAAGAAATAGAACTGAAAAAAAGAAAGTGGTGTGAAAAAATGAAAAATTCATAATACTCGAACTACAATGTCTCCGATGCTTTCGATGCAGGAATCACGCGACATTTTCAACTTTGATTCATCGACGCATGCAGAAACGATAATGATACCAAAAAGACAAACTCAAACTCTGTTTACGCATGCTCGTTACAAGGTATTATTTTTTTTCATCGGGTGTATGTTCAGAATTATATAATTTTTATCAGAAGAATATTGTTCAGCAAAAATTTATTTTTTCGCTATTATAAAAGGGAGCAATTTTCTGATTAATCCGTCAACACACGAGTAATAATACAAATTACATTATTGCAATGTAGGATTTAAATAATAACACTACGAGTAAAACGAGCGTACACGCTCTCACACGCCACAATAAAGATGTGAAAATCATTAACGTTAAATACAAACTAATTACAAACTTAATATTATCGAATGTAATTCGATCGCAACCTAATAATGCCACTGATGTCTAATTTTCATAATCCATTTACAAAATCAATTAATTTTAGAGCCCGCGCGCGGAAAAGAAAGATACGATTATTCCTCCGACGATGAATCACTCTCCTCAGCGTCGTCACCTTCTTGCGCATATACGAATTGATTGTAAACGTATGGATTAATGTAGGCTTGCTTATTAGGTGAATAATTAACAACAGCAATGCCATTAGGGTCAGACCTATAATTGTACAAATGCGGATAGAGGCCGGACGGCGCGATGCCAACGTTGACGAACTTTTGTGGACAGTCGGTAACATTTTGCGGACAATACGGTACGCCGCTGTTATGCCGTTCCAACGGCTTTTCCTCGAAATTTTGATCAACCTTATCTTGCTCCAAGACATGCTGCATAATTTGATGATTACCGACGCGATTGGTATCGACGCACTGTTTGTCGTCGAGCTTATTGCTAACTTGCGGCAACATGGTGTAATGAGCATGATCTGGCACTAAGGCTTGCTGTCGGTAAACGTTCGCATTAGGGACATAGTGCTGGCTATGATAGAGGATTGGCTGATAATGACCGTGACCTATCATTGGCAACGGATTGACCTCGATCTCCGAATAGGAAACGTCCGTCATTTCTTTACTGTTGCTCAGTTGATCTTCCACGGTAGAGTGATCCATTGTGTCTGAATTAATGGAATGATTTGGTGATGATGTGTCCATATGCTCCTGTGAGTCAGCGTATGTGTTTTCTGGGTGTGTCGTATCGGCTGGCTGGTGCATGTCTATTACAGTTAGATGACGGTTGACCTGCTCTACGTGGGTACCAACCTGGATCCCAGTGGTCACCGTCGACTCCACGTAGGTCTTTCCGTGTAGACTCGGTTGATTCAATGTGATCTCCTTGGTGGTGATACCCTGAATTCTCCAATCCTCCGACGCGACCTGTGCGTCGCCCGAGTCCGGTTCGCTGCTCGAAACGCAATGAACCATAGGCTGAAAAATTAAGGACATTTATATGATGATTAATCAGTATGGTTTTATCCTTTTTTATCAGGGAATTAAAAAATTTACATTTTTTACATTTCAACAAACTCGACAACAGTAATTACGGTACAGATAATATGTCACACCTTTTTAAAAATTGTGCTGTAATTACTTATATCTGGACTTCTACTTTGTGACTTTTTACTTTTATCGATCTCTTTATAAATATAAAAGATCTGCGCTTTAAAAATTTAAATAAATTGTTCCTACACCAAAGTCGTTCTTTACCGTGGACGACGAGTGATGTCTAGCGGTGATGGGAGGTGCTGGTGAAGCAGCGCCATGGGTAGTAGTGTCCACGGCCGGACTGTTTGACCTCTGACTGTTTCCTGGACTATGTGTGGTCGTATCGGGAGGTGATCCTTGCCGCATCATCGCCGACTGCGCCACGTTTGTTTGATTCCCGGCGGTTTGAGTCGACACAGAATGCCTCACCATAAGTGGACTGTGCTGTTCGTTCTGTGAAGCCGTTTTCTCCACAACGGTTGTGCTACTACTCGCCAGCACATATTGTTGTTGCTCCAGGTTTTGATCAGATGATGGCGAATTCACGCCACTCTTAGGCGAGGACGACGTTTTTCCCTGAATCATGCCGGAGCTCAGAATGTACGACTGATTGTGGTCAAGATTCAGAGACGGGTCAACAGTTTGTCCGCCGTTAGAAGTCGCGCCTTGAAAATTCGGTATCTGATTGTTGGAGACCATGGTCGTCTGTTGCTGCACGATCGTTGTGTTTTGCTGGACGAAGGTCGTGTTTTGCTGATTCGACGCTGAGGAAACGGCGATATTCTGCGCGGTACCGCAAGGTACCATGAGCGTTTGTCCGTTCATCTGTATAAACTCTTGCTGTCCCTGCATGTTCGGCGGTCTCACTTGCGAGGTGTTAAACGTCACCTGCTGATTCGGACTGACATTCGCCACTATCGGGCTCAGTTGATTACCGAAAGACGTTGTTCCGTTCACTAAGAATTGACCGCTATTTGGCGATAGAAACTGCGCTCCCGGACTGTGCTGCTGAATGATCTTTCCACTGGTTGCTTGTGGTGCCCGTATCACCATACCGGCTGGACCAGCAGCCAATATGCTTTGACTCGGATTGAATATGCCGCTGTGGCTCTGCACCGGCGTCAGTACGTTTTGACCGTTGACGTTTTGTATCTGGAACTGCATACCGATGTTCCCCGTATCCTGCAGCAACGTGGCCGTTCCGTCAGCTGACATGACCATGCTACCTAAACCGGGCACAATGAACTGCTGAATAGTAGGAAAATTCTGAACCATCCCGGTAGCGCCGTTCAACAAATTCACCGGTTGAAGAAGATTGATCTGCTGTGCCGGTTGAGGATTCGTGATTATCTGTTGGGCATTGAATTGCGCGGATGCGGCGCCGGTCTGTCCATTCATAACCAATTGCGCCGGTGCCCCACCTTTACCAGGAACGATAGTGAGTGCTTGCAGCATGGGTCCGCCTATGCTCTGAGTCTGAAAGTTCTGCTGCGCAAAGTTGGACTGAGACTGCATCAGCATACCGGCGTTCTGTTGGGAGGAGGCGATGTGTAACATAGACGCCACGGTTTGAGGATTCGCTTTGCGCTTCTTGTACGACTTCTTCTTTGTCATTGCCGATTCGGGTGACAATAACGCCGGCTGTCGATTCACTATACCTTGATTAGCGCCGACGGTTCGCGACACGTCCTGATTCGCGTCGAGGATTGACTGAGTGTTCTGTATGACGTTACCGGTAGCGACTGTTAGATGCGGTATCTGCACGTTCTGACTTATACCATCCATCGTCATCACGCCAGGTTGTATTAACACTGGTGTCTGTATAGTGTTCACGAGTACTGTCGGTTGTCCTATCACTTGCTGAGCTACCCCTACCGCAGGGATGACTTGGCTAACGGCTCCGGTTACACTAGTAACCATCGGCGATACCGACAATGGTGGCATAGAATTGGCATTGGAAATGATTTTCGGTGGTGGAGGTGCCATAACACCGTTGATAGCTGACCCGGTGCTCGCCATTATGAGTTGACCGCCGCTAGACATCAATATATGACCAGGTGGTAGCGTCGATCCGGCAGGATGCTTCAATATACCTCCAGAAGTGAGGACGTTATGAACTTGTACGTTGGCCTGAGGGTGTTGCTGCTGTTGTTGTTGCTGCTGATGGTGCTGTTGCTGCTGTTGATGGTGCTGCTGTTGCTGGTGCGTTTGTGGCTGCACTGACGAATTCGTGCTCGCCTGAGGTACTTGTATGCTACTGACGACACTTTGGACCATCTCGAGCGGTGACTTGGATACGCTCATCGTCGAAGATTGATTAAGTGAGACAGAGGAATGAGTAGTAACCGTTGCACCCGGCACATTCCCCAATGTCGTGGATTGCGCCTGATGCTGTGGTTTGTTGGGCAGAAGATTCGGTAGAGCGGGATTCGGTATGGCAGATGGTGTGTTTATGGAGACAGTGGCAGTATTTGCCCTTCCCGCTAAGACCGATGTGATCGTATTACTGCTGACCGTATGACTGCTCGCCATGGTTGTTATCACGGATGATGCTCCGCCGAAAGTATTCATAGGTATCCTGGATACAACATTAACGGTATGAGGATGAGGTTGATAGCCGTCGAGAGAATTTTGCCTAGTCGTTATTTGCCGTTTCACTTGAGATGCTAAATTGTCCGGCGTAGAGCAGGATGTTTGGGACGGTGAGGTACTAGGTGGAATACCACTAGAGCTCATCGTGCCGGAACACGGAGTTTCGGACCTTTGTTCCTGCATACCGCCACTGATTAACGACTGTGACGGTTGTTGCGCTTGTGGAGTTAGCGTTTGCGGTGGCATCTGACCTGAGACATGCGAGTGAGGAGTCGGTGGTTGCGAGTAACTGTGCGGCGTCGATGGTTGCGATGAAATGAGACTCTGCGGCGTCGCCGGTTGCGAGATGCCGGGCGTAGAGGCTGCCGGCGTGTCCGAATTCGCGGGACTATTGCCGACAGGAGATCCGTGGCTGGTGCTTACAGTACCGCCTTGTATTGGTCTAGAGTCAGCCTGCTGTTGGCTCGTTTGATATCTCTCGCCAAACGTCGACGACGTGACAGGATCTTCGCGTTGATCCGTGTGCATCAGGTACTGCCGGTGCATCTGCTGCTTATACTGATCCTGTATATAGGACTGAGTATCGGCGCTAGTGACGCAACCTTGACAAGGACTACTCTCGGAATCCGTGCCGCTGTTGCTCGACGTCGGCGTCATACTACTATGTACGACGACCGGCGAAGTCGCGTGATTCTTTACGGAAGTGAACGACGAGGTACTCGTAGGGCTAGCGATAGAGGAAGGCTTTGGTTGAGGAAGATAGGCGTTGTTACTGTTAGGCACATGCATGCCGTGACTGGTTTGAGGCGATAACTTCGGATTGTTATTCATCAATCCCACTTGAGAGCTACTAACACCAGTCTGCCTCGATATCGTACTATTCAACAGCGCTGTCTGCTGAGCGAGGTATCCGCTGGGATCCTCTAGGAACGAAGGACCGCTGTTATTAAATGTTGTACCTATCTGACCATTATTCTGCTGATTCTTCTCGCTGTACTCTTCCACCGGACTCGGCACCGAGTGCTCCAAACCGTTGTTCGTTCTCGATTCCGCGATACCGTGCTGGCGTTGCTTCTTCACAATTATTTTAGTCGGCTTCGCCTTCTTCCGCGCGGCCTCGTCAGTCCAAGTGGAGGCCTGTGGAATGTGATGATGAAGAGGTGGCACGCGGTCAAACGAGTTGCAGTTGATATTCTGCACCGTGACGACAGACGGTTGATGAGATGCGACCGCGGGGCGATTTTGCTGCCAGGGTGGTGTTCTGTTGTTGAAATGCATGTTACCGGGCTGCCCGTTTGGTCCCATACCAGACTGCACCTCAACGGCGTGACTGGCGTTCGGGCTTCTTCCCGCGTGATTGGACAGAACGAATTGCTGTTGATGCCCTATCTTGCCATCTGCATTCGTTCCCTTCGAAGGATCAAAGTTCCTAGTCGGATATTGTACTTGATTTTGCGTGTACATCCGCTGAACATTTTCGTGGGGATTGCTTTGCAAACCGCCATTCTGAACCGCGTGATGTCGTTGCATTGAATGATTATGCAACAAGAGTTGTTGTTGCTGTTGTTGCTGCTGCTGTAATTGTTTTGCATTTAAATCTTCATCGGTAACCGATGGTGCTCGATTGTGCCTATTTTGAATGTCTGTAGTATTGACGTTGGTTATAACAGAGCCTGATTGCTGTTGCATGATGTCTACGGAGTGATGGTTCATCTGTTGGTTTGAATACTGCGGCTGAATACACACTTGGGATAGTTGTTGTTGATGTTGTTGCTGCTGTTGTTGTTGTAACTGTTGGATTTGCATTTGGAAGGGATCCGTTGATTGAGGCTGCATAGCGTGCTGATTTTGTTGTTGCTGTTGAGATTGCATTTGATGCTGGTGAAGCTGGTGAAGTTGTGGATGGAGAGTGGTTTGATTCGGCACTTGTGTAGATTGCATGTGATGCACATAATTCTCAGTGGGATGTTGAGGGTTATAATTTGTCGATTGTTGTTGATCTATTTCCTGAGGTAAATGCTGTTGCTGCTGTTGTTGTTGCATGTTATGCTTTTGAATCTGCTGTAAATGTAACTGTTGTTGCTGCTGCTGATTCAAGTGTTGTTGCTGTTGTTGTTGCTGCTGTTGTTGGATTGTATGCAACGGCTGCTGATTTAATTGATTGATATAATGAGGAGCCTGTTGTTGTGCCAACTGATTCACTACCGTATTTTGATGTTGTGGTTCCTGTTGTTGTTGTTGTAAAATTTGCATGTGTTGCAGCTGTTGTTGATGAGGTAATAGCTGTTGCGGCTGCTGTTGCTGCGATATATGCTGTTGAATGAACTGCTGTTGTTGCTGTTGTTGCAAAATTAATTGTTGATGTTGTTGTTGTTGGAGAAGTTGCTGTTGAGTCATATTGTTGAAGTTTGTTCCTTGCTGATTCATAATCAGCGGGTTACTCATCAGCATGCCTGACATATTGTGTTGATTTAACCTCTGTTGAGGATTTCTTGTACAATTATTCACATCATGATTTTGAGAAGGCGAATTTAAAGACTGATGGCAGATTTGTTGACCATTTTGCTGGACTTGCAGATTTGGGATCGCGATTGGCCATACCTAAAAAATAAATAATCGTTTGTAAATATTCTCGCAAAAATATGTAGTTAGACATAAATATTTAGTAAGAGGAAGTAACATAGAGGCAACTATGTGTTGTTTTCGCTACAAAATATGTATGCTATGGAAAAAAAATTGTCCACACGGAAAGGAGTCGAATAATTTGCGATTCAATGAAGGCTACGACTCAATTACCTGCGATCCATTAGGCACCGGTGAACCTTGAACTCCAGATGCCGCGACTGCGGCAATAGCTCTCTCCCGTTGTGCCAGAAGTTGCGAAACCGAGACGCCGGAATAAATGCCGCCTATGCTTCCTAGTTTCCTCTTCTTCTTCTTGCTGAGACCATCTGCGCACGCCAATAAAGTATCTCTTAATAAACCAGGACTGGAATCCAATTATCTTCGATCCGCCGGCATCTACTTGAAATTGAATCGACAAAGGCTTTTCCCGTTCAGAGCACAATTGTGGAAGACGATAAGTCCCAAGCGCTGTAGAAATTAAAATACGACTTATTCGCTCTAACCCCGGTGCCGGCTTTCTCGCTTATTATTCAGGCGACGTTCCAAGCTCCTTAATGAAGCAAGTGTTCCATTTGAAATCCCGCCGCAAGGTTAAATCGTATTTAGCCCGACATTTCCGTGCTTTAATTCTCCACTGTTTAAAACGTCGGTCTTCCCCTTCGTCCTTCATATTATCATTCCAGTATATATCTTTTACGAAGTGGAAATATCGTCGATAGTAAATCAAAAAGTAGCGCTATGTAAAAAAAAAAGAAAGAAAAAAAATAGTTATACATGACACGTGATTAATATCAATCATTTCTTTAATACATAAAAAATGGTTAAGCATTTTAACTCTTGGCAGATCCAAAAAAATTGAAGAAAAAAGTTTTGAGTGTTTAAATAAAGTAAATTATGTTTTCTGAATGCAATTATACTAAAATATCGTTTCTAAAATATCTTTTTGAAAATATATTTTCAACGATTTTTGTTATTCAGAGCAACAGTGCTAAATAAATGCGTCCTGCATCTAACGTTCTTGCATATAACTCATGAAAAATCGATGTTATTTAAAAGCAACATTGCCAAATGAAGAGTTATTATTGTAGCAAATATTAATTTTTCTCACAGATGTAAACATATTTAATCTTTAAATCAAAATCAAATTTAAGAGATACGGATAATGAATTACAGAACAAAATTAAAATTGCAAGCTGCTGCAGCACTTGAACAAAAGGAACAACAATAGGTTTAAAATAGGAACTATTTAAAAGTCTTCACAGAGACTGTAGTATGTATATAATGAAAAGGCAAAATATAGATTTATCACGCTTCGTAAAGAAGCTGTCATTCAGCGCGTATTCAGCGCGAAAGAACCGCCGCGAGGACCATCGGCACTTCCAAATTACCGTGATTTACGAGGACGTGTCAGAAAAGAGGAGGGATAAGGTTTTCAGCGGGGTGAGACAGGGGCTAAGGGGATCTTTTATCTGTAAGCCTACAGAGGATAATTATTCTCCGTGCGCGTCGATTGGTACGGGGAACGAGTAGATAATTCTCGGCGAAGAGGGAAAAGCATGAAAACGACGAGAAGCGCGAGCGAAAGAGGAGGGTGAGCGTAGTAATGAATCTACGGTGGCAGCGAGGCAACTTGTCCGCCCTGACGACGGCAGTTTAACCCGATTTCCAAGGGGACGAAGATTTGCGTAAAATCTTTGGATCCATTTTGTGGCTTCCGGGGTTTTCGCGCGAACGCGTAAAATCTCCTCCCCCGCACCGTCTCCTCGGAATGTCTGCAGTCAATGGCTCGAGCAATAAACGTTCTCGTCGTTAAACCCGATGAAAGAGGGCGACGTAGTAATTGGAAGATATAGTTCGTCGTTTGCGGCTATTTTCAACCACCACGCTATTCGGTTAAGTACAGGATGCTCGGTTGTTGACTCGCTCGTAATGACTGATTGATTTTATGGAGCCGAATTTTACATGAACCTGATTTCACGGGAACTATTTGTGTTCGATGAGAACGTATATCCTAAAAATATATATCCTTCTTTTGCAATTGAAAATGGAAGCAGGCATGCTAACTATGTACGTGATAAAACACTAATCAACACGCTTTAAAAATACAAACGGGAGATTCTAAGCGTAGTGCGGATATACATGATTTGTGAACTGCAGAAGCTAAAGCGCAGTGGGAATGACGCTGCGAATGAACATATGATATACGTTTGTTAGAGGAAGGACTTTGAAACGTCGAAGGGTCGCAACGAACTTATAAGTAAGCCTGAGCGATATCCGGTGGCGATGATTTCTACCAGCGGATAGCATCGTTACCGCTCGTTACGCTGAAGGTAGAGGTAAACGCACCTACAAAGGTGGTGACATTCGTGATCTCGCGGGATAGATCCACTCTCCATCGATCTCACTGACGCAGCATCAAGGGCCAATGCTGGTGGCATCCTCGACGCTTTAACTACCTCTACAACGGCTGTCAGACACGTCGACGAACGGCGCGAGTTTATGTTCGAGTTGCAACGACCTCAGCGGAAAATGACATTCGATGCGAGCATGAAGATCCGCCGGGATGATCGTGCGTTACGCTTACGCCGAGGCGTTGATGCGGACTGAGCGAGGCAAAATCAAAATGCGCTTGCGCGACTGAGCAACGGAAGTGGATGCCGTCGGCGAGGGTGGCCGGGCAAAAGAAGGGTGAGAGGAATGCACACACACACACACACACACACACACATACACACATAGAGAAAGAGAAAGAGAGACAGAGAGAGAGAGAGGAGTAAAGACCCACACCGTCGAGGGAACGGACGTCACTTGGGGCAGGCGCAAGAATCACAACCGGACACAGTCGTTGGACCGCAAGGTTCACCCTCTCTCCCTGCTCGCTCGCTTCTCATGCGCGCCACCGTGGCCCCTCGTACGAAATTAACCCTTATCAACTCCGTGTCTACCACCACCATCATCTCGCACGACCCCCACCGACTGTACAACCTGGCTTCTTTCATCCCCCTTCCTCTTTCGCCGCTACCACCACCAGAGCACCACTGCCACTGCCGCCACCTTCGCTACCTCCACCATCGGTCGCACTGGCGTCGCGGTACGACGACGTCGACGTCGACGTCGTCGTCATCGTCAGCGAAGGGAGAACGGATTCTTTCCTCCTCCCGGGACTTTATTGATCGCCGCTACGATAAGAAGACACGAGACCGGCCGATTGGTCTGGGGATATGGCCACGTCGGGCCACCGTCGTGATCTCGCCACGACGAACGTGGCCGACAGGAAATCGGGTCTCCCGCGATCCATTCTTCCCTAATGCAATCAGACTAATTCGAATTGATCCTTTATCCGCCAGCTACCGTCCGCATTCCCTGTGAACGCTTTCTCTCTGCTAAATCTCTCGCGCTCTGCATACAGATCCGTTCTTCTATCCGATTACGTAATCTCACTAATTACACGTATCCCAAAAGCTGAAATGCTTTTCCTTTTTCTTTATTTTATATGGGGTAGATCGTGTTTAGTATACTTTGATCTACACACAGCAGCTTTCTCAGGAAGATCATTTCCTTCATCCTATGTAAACAGACCTTTGGGGAAAAAAATGCTGACCTAATAGGCTTAACAGGTTGGTCGGTAGACCTGTTTAATCTGGTAAACCTGGTTAATCTGTTTACGCGGCATAATATCCTCACAGTAGGTAACGGAAGCAGTCCTCTTATCCAAACAAAACAGCCAAAGGTATTTTGAAAATTCGACACCTGCAGCGGAATCGTAGCTAGCAGCTTGTACGGTAGCGTATCGGAGTTCGTCGTCCATAAAATCGCTTCTCGCTGGGACGCCGCCGTACGCTGCGACGTCGACGTAGGACAAAAGTGATCGATTGAGCTCCGGGGGAAAACTGTTTACGGGGAAAATTGTTTAGAACGACGAAAGGTCGTGTAAGCCGCGCCCTGGATTTCGATATACCTATTTTATTTGTTACCGAATCAATGATCGCGGAACACGTAGCGCTCTCATTAAATCGCATCTATCTCTCTTTCCAATTAATTAACGCGTGTTCATTATCAAGATTATTATGTCGTATGAACAAATTAATTCGATGTCAACCTGTTAAGCCTATTTTAGGTTTTAGTGCCTTTTTTTAATTTTTCCGAATATCTCTGTTTATGCTAGGACGACGAGGTCTACCCTTAATTACTCTAATCAACCCTCGGACGAATGCAGCATTTTACGCCTCTGCAGTACACAGCGAGACGGTGATCCCGTGCTCAACTTTCGTACAAATGCAGTAAAAAATACGCTACATTGCTTGACTCAGAGAACGAATTAACGTGATACCTAGCGCGTAATTAAACTTTTGTGACGAAACGTTTGGGATAATTCTGATTTCCGCTCCGCTTTCTCGTGACCGATAAAGCTGAGAGGGAGAAAAAGAGAGAGAGAAAGAGACGTTTTAATCATTCCTACTCCCAGCGCGGTATGTAATCCATCGTACGTAAGAGAAGACCATCATCCTCCCCTCAGCCGACAAAGTCAAACTGAAAATCGGAAAAAGGGGAAATTAAATCGGCTCCCGGAGGGGGAGAGCGCGTTATGAAAACTTGGAGCTCGCGTTCAGCGATAAAGATTCATTCGAACCTCTCCACTTATTCCCCCTTGCCGTTCTCTGCCGCCGTCGTCGTAGGAGGCTGCAAGGGTATGCGGGGGTGCGCGTGTTTGTGCAGAGCGCGAGCGCGTGTCAAACTCCCCGATGGCGCGGCGGAGAGAAGAAAGTCGGGGAAAAAACCAACCCCCATCCGGCGTGTCGTTTTATATCACCGGAGAATTGGAATCGAAGCGGCGTGAGCGTGCGTCGATGTTAAAACGACTCCATAAAGTCCCATAAAAACACTGCCACCGACATGTATATCCTCTACCTTACACACCGGCCATAAACTCAAGTTAAACTTCAGCCCAGATTTCCAGACGCAAACGCGAAACGGTCTATCGTGTCTACCGCTGCGCCCGAGTGCGTGTCCACGCAACGGTAACGCATCGCCCTAATCTATTTATGAAACAGGGAAATCGATTTATTTGACTATTATTGTTGTTGTTGTTGCTATTATCGTCGCGTTAGAAAAGAGGTGGAAAGTGTTGCGGAAGCGCTAGAACAGAAAATAATATGCATTCTTGCAGAGAAAAATGTCGCATATTTTAAAAATTCAAATAACAGAGAGAAACGAAGTTGCGAAGTTTAATTGGTCCTGCATCACAGCTGACAAGGTTTTGTCCGACGGTGTCAAGTGTGAATTCTGCTCACTAAAAAACAACAAACTGAATAGGATTTTATGATTTAAATTATCATTCTCGCGTGATATGTAAATGTAATGTTTTTCATCTCCCTTCGTTTATCTGGAAGACCAGAAATATAAGTTTGCATGGAGGAGACCAAAATTGTGAAACTCCGTCATCGACGTTTGTGCTATAAATATATCATCGTGATGATTTCGGAGTAATTCGATATTTGATGAAAGTGTTGAAAAGAGAGAAAGGAAGCGAGAGAGAAAAAGAGGACGAGGAAGGAGAGGAAGAAGCGTCCCCAACTCTCCGCGCCGCGAATAATATTAAAATGCGCAGTTACGACGCCCAGGGTGAAAGTTTAATAACCGTTGGTCGCCAACGCGGTCGCGGCTGGCTTTCAATCTACAAGCGGATTATAATTTCTAGCCGACGCAATTTGGAGTACAGGTAGAGTGGAGGTACGCTGCGAGCGTGTACGCCGCGTCCTGCAACAGCCGCTTAATTAACGACGCGAAAGTAAGGAAAAAAAAGGAAGAACAGGATGAGGAAAGGAGCGACGGCAGAGGTGGGATACGTCGGTTATGGGATTTGGTAATGAAATTCGGTGGAGAGTTTGGCGGCTATGGTGATACATCATTCCACCCTGCCGGCACCCCCTCATCTCACCCTTCGCCGCGCTTCCCGAGTTTTAATGCCAACGTGGCGGGCAAAGAAAGGACGATCCCCGAAAGAGAAGAGGGTGGTGGCGGCGGCGGCGGCGACGGTAGTGGTGGTGATGGTAGGCGAACCGACTTCGCTAATGCCGCAATTTCGTCGTCCTTCTTCCACCGTCGACTTTTTTCCCTAATGATCACGGCTCACTTGACGGGGTGGAAAAACTTTTGGTCTTCCTCCAATAAAAGTTGGCACGTGTTCCCGCGCGACGGTGAATAAACGTCTCGGCGATTATGGCGCCGGTTCGACGTCCGACTTGACAGAAAACTTTGTTAATACGTCGGATCGATGAAGAAAGTTCCGCACGCGCACATGTATACGCGCAGTGCGCGATGGAGTTTGACTGCCGGAGCAATCGTCGGGGTTAAGAAAACGGACATTGAGAATGGATCTCGAAATTTTGATCGATCACGCTGAGATTCGTCGTATGATGCGCAAAAAAATTAAGAAGTTGGACACAATGACGGCGTGAGTGTGCTTATTCAATCAAACAAACTTCCTTGGGTTATTATAACGCTCATAGTTTTATTTCTCTGACTTTAATGCTTTTCTCATACTGTTTAACAAAAAAATTCGCGATATCGATCACACATTATTCGATCATTTCAAGCATATCCTGTAATCACTACACGGAAAGAAAGATTTAATTGTTCAAGATGAACAATTGAAAATTCTACTCAACTAGAAATCTTGTATGGTTAACCAGAATTTTGTTAACACGAAAAAAATTCTAACAACCTCAATCGGAATATTTCTGATTTGTTCATATTTTACATTTTTTGTAATTCGAACCAAATTCTTTTGGCAATGTATAGAAAATCACACAATTAGATTGTTTCTTTTTATCTACAAAATCTTTATGGCTTATAAATTTTAATTTGCGCTTTCGGCATTTTTTATCTCATGAGCCGTCGGTCCTCAAATTATTGAAATTATCCGATTTTTTGCGTTTGATCGGCCGTCCGAATAATCGAGATCGTTTAATACTTCTCGCGATTACATTCTTACCTTTTCTGGTTTTATCCGGCGACGTGGGCGAGTCGGCGTTCGCGTGAATCGAGGCCGTTGTCGGGCCAGAAGATAAAGTCGACGATGAGACCGCCGGTGTACAGGACGCAACAGGACTGGCGGCCGCGGCCGGCTGCGGACGTTTCCTCTTATGGTTGCACAGCTTGGTCATCTCCTGCGTCTTGCCCTGATCCGGGCTCCAAGGTCGTGTCGCAACCTGAAACAGTAACACTATTCGTTATTCTTGCCCGATCGTATCGCGGGTAGGGTGATGCGTTAACGAGCTAACGTCGGATTATTTCGAGAGTCTCAAATCACCTCGAACATCGCATAATGTCGAGAATTCTCAAATAACCTGAGAACTCGTGGGAAATTCAGCGTTCGCAGTAAAAGTCTGGAAAACTCGGAGAACCTTGAGAGTCTTGAAAGTTTCACGATCGACAGGTTTGATATCAATATTAATCGTAGATAAATGAGATCTTGATAATGATGGAATGCAGTATTGAAAGTAACTTATGTTTATGGTGGATATTATTTGCGCAGCAATACACCTATCATCCATTTATAAGATAGGCTTGTTATTTTATTATTATTTCATTATTCTTTCTTTCCCGCGAAAAACATTCTTACTGTTATTTAAATAAAATTGTTGAGTTAGAATATTTAAAACCTACTCTCTTAAAATAAATCACTGAAACATCATTGAAAACAGCATACACTGATCTGCAGTTATAAATGTTGCACTTTCAGTGCTATATTTATAACTGATATCAGTGATTCACTGATTCACTTTAAGAGAGTAATCTTACAAAGTGCTTTTTGCTTTTTCGTTCTCTATCTTTTTCTAGCTTAAGGCTGAAAGTTTAACTCTTTAAAGCATAGGATCTTCAAAATTCGGATTATAATAAAATATTCATGTCACGTGTCTAGAATGACAATCCAAGAGATCATTCCTTTTGAAATCACATTTTTTCTTTGAAATTACATTTTCATATTTTATATTTCCTATCATTTTTTTATATTTTCTATTATTAAAACTGATAGAGTGTATCACTAAGCACAGACTAAGCGGTTTCGTTGTGAGATCACTATACCTGAAACTATGATTTGGTTCTAATAGATGATCTCATGGGGAAACTACTGTTTTAAGTCAGAAAGAGAAAAGAAATAAACAGGAAGTAAAAAGCACTTTGTAGATATGGGCGAAAAGTTAACACGCACTCATAACCACAAATATTTTCCTCACTAAGAGAGTCATTGATCCTCATGCAATCAGCAATACTATATTTACTATTTCAGATCTGTCCGCAGAATACGGTGATTCCAAGTTGCCAGTATTTCGGTGAGTCAAATGCAAAAATAGACGGTTTAATATCTCATGCGAGCCGTTATAATATTTCTCTCTGTGCAAAATAATGAGGTGATCTCCTGCGTCTCCGCCTGATTTCGTCGAGCGGTTCGCCGTAATTGGCGAATATCGATTCGCGCGCGAACGAAAGACGGCCGAGGCGAGGCGAATAAGGAAGAACGACCTAAGGAGGGAGAGGGAGGGAGTCAACGGCTCCAGCTGACGACGCTCATGAATCTCATGATCGATGCGCGATACTCCGCGTGGAATTAAAACGCGTCCAAGTTGGAAGGCCGCAGGCCGATGTCCGTAATGGCCATGAGGGGCCTACACGGCCGTTGTTACGTGTCAGCTCGAGAGACGTTCCGCGGCAATTTACGGCCGCAAACACAGTGCCATTACGGCGTACCGTAAATAAGATAATGCCGCTTGATATATATAAGTGGCGGGCATAAAGCGCGCCGCGCGAAATGTTAATCGTCGCGCTCCAGAGACGCACTCCGTCGTCTACAGCGGGACGAGAAGATACGACAATCGGTAGCTAATCGCTAATGACGGAAACGATAAATGACGAAATGCATGGCGCCTGGATTGCTGTACGGGGAATTGCTCGCGCGTGAACCGTAATATACCTACCCTCGTGGCAAAAATTTCGCTCGAAATTCCACCTCTCGGGCGCAACGTGATGACGAGCAACAAGTGTATGTATACTACGTGTGTATGTATAGTACGTGTGCGGTTTGTAGGAAATTTTACATTTTTCAATTATTATCTTCCGCTGCATTTGAGGGAATTAACATTAATATAAGCAAGCCCGTCGTAAAAGATTAATGCTCCAACACTCGTTAGATTTAGAATTACCGGGCATCTTCGCGTCGCGCGTATGTTCGCGCGTTATGACTGTTAATTGGTCGGTTCCGTTTCATCTCTGCGCGTGTCGTGCCGCAACACATCGGGCAATCGTGTCTTGTTGCATTCGGGATAGGAAAGACAGAGTAACGCAGAAACAGTTCGCAGTGTAAAAGCTGAGCGTCGCGAGGAAACCGCGGATCGTCGAATTCTATGGGAAGCTCTGGCGAATATGACGCAGGGAAACGCGAGCGACACGCGGATTTGTCATACCTCACCTGAGAGTAGTCGGCAGGTTAATTAAGAACGACCTGAATACGGCGCCGACGTTACGCTGCGGCTGGCCTTGGCGTCGAGAACCGACGAGTCGCCGCGCCGCTATAATGACGTATACCGGCGGTTAACTCAATCAGAACGTGTTTTCTCTGACTGGTCTATTATTCATTCCCCTGCTGGCGAGGCGCTCATCAGCGGTGATCACCTTACCGGCTAATCGCGCCCACTCGCCCACCGCGACACACAGGAAAACACGATGATGCGTGCGTGCGTCGCGGACCCACCGCAGAAATGTCACGGCTCGGCCGAAGGTTGTATCGCGCGACAAATTGGAGGAAGAATCATGATTGATGAATCGATCGCAATTATTGCGGAACTGACGAGTCCTTTCTGATCGAGGAGATATAGAGTAGCGTTTGATACATTGGAAAAAAAATGTGTGGTATTCGCACATATGCAATCACATAAAAAAATAATCACTATAAGTAATGGATAAAAATTATGGTGAAGAGAAAAAACAATTTTTATTATTAAATTCTACTATAACGTTAGTGATAATAATCTTACATGTTACATGTTACTAATACCATTTCATTGCAAAAAAAGATAGTTGGGGCGAAAAATAACTGTGTATAACTTTAATTAAATCAACTATTTTTTCTCTCACTGTTGGCAACAAGGTAAATACTCGCGCTCAGATTTGAGAACAATTCTTTCACGTTGAGGGAAAAAATATTATGTATTTTTTTATTTGAAAAATTTTTTTATATCAGTATACGTGCATATATGTTATTATTAACGAATAAATATTTGTTACTTCTTAAATATTTTTTCTCTCAGTAAAACTAGAAAAAAACACTTTAGCTGGACGGGAAAACATAAATTAAGAATAGAGATGTCAGACTGACAGCGCTAAAGTCTTCGACTTTGAAAGGCGATAATTTGTTTTCTATTCTTCCGTAATTAGACGCGGTTACAACGCAAAAGTTCTAACACGACAGAGTAAAGTCTAAAGGACTTATTATTAGGCGCAACATCGTCCTCGTTTCATCACTGGCAACGATCGCCGATATAAGAATATTATAAGAACGCCAATAAAAGTTAATGATAATGGAAAAGATTAATTTGACGTAATGAATCATCGTCGTGACTCTTACTCGTCATATATTCTTCCGTTAATTAGATACAACAAAAAGAAAGAAGTACCGAAAGAAAATGATCGTCCCGTTGAAAAATATCGATTGCGCGCATTTGCTGAACAATATCTCCTTTTCTTCGGTTTATGAGACTTCTTTATGGGACGCGAATAAGGTGTCGTGTATGAAAACTCGATTCTTTTATTTCTGTCTGCCGGGCGCATCGTCTCTCTCGGTTCGCATTGCGGTTACGCCAGCACACGGTCGTACGTTCGCTGAGTGTACGCAAGGTGTTTGCATCACTACCTAAATAATCCTCGCCGGCGAGGTATACGGGGCTGAAACGCGCCGCCGCTTTCCGCGGCATTATTTCCCGTCACACGCCGCCCATTGCACACGCGAGGTAATCACACGGCGACCGGCGGAAACCACGATTTAATCCTTTTTCTCGGACGCAAAATGAGACGCCGTACTGCGACAGAAACGACTTTAATACGATGGCTTTTACCCCGTCGCCCATCCGCGCCCGGATGGAGTGTACGTAGCGCGAGAGCAAGAGAGTCTCCCCTCTTGATTAGACGATCCCGAAAGGGAAAATAAACTGCTGCGCGCGGTGGCTGTAATTACCACGCCAAACGAATCAGCTGGTACACGTTACCGCGGCTTTACATGAAACGGTTTTATATAATGGATTATTATATCGCGTATAATCGCGCGAGCCATTATGCGCGGGGAGAAAAAGTCAAATTAATACGGTAACCTCCGTGAAAAATCCGTAATTAGACGCGGTTACAACGCAAAAGTTCTAACACGACGAAGTCTAAAAGGTCATTATCAGGCGCAACATCGTTCTCGTTTCATCACTGGCAACGATCGCGATATAAGAACGCCGATAAAAGTTAATGATAATGGAAAAGATTAATTGGACGTAATGAATCATCATCATTACTCTTACTCGTCGAATATATATATATATATATATATATATATATATATATATATCTTTCTGGTCCTTGCGCACTCCTCAATAATACATATCAACTGCATAAAATGAGTCACACGGAGAAGAGTATAAAACTCGCGAGGCACTCGCGTCTTGGTGTCGCGAACCGATGTGTCCTTATCGATCTGCAATACCAGCCGGAATCGAATCTGCTTCTCGAATTTTGCAGACGAATTTCGCGCTGCTTCGTCGCGGCTATTTTTGCCGAATTTCTACGCGAATACGCGAGCTCGCGGGACGACGAGCCGGCAGTTTTATTCCCGAGGGTGGTAAATCATCGTGCCGCCACACGCGTTCGCCAACTCCTCTGAGATCTCGGGACCCAATCAACTGCACACGGCAGAGCCGTATTCTAACGCGCACAAGCCGTCTTCCTTCTCTCCGTCTCTCCCTTTTGCGAGACGACGCGAAGCGAAGCGATGCGACGCGCCGACCTCGACGTCGTTAAATTAAATTTATGCTGGCTCCGCGACGTTTCCCCGCGCGCCGTACATATATATATATATATATATATATATATATATATATATATATATA